GAGAATCTGCATTCCTAATAAGCTCCCAGCTGGTGCTGATGCTGCATGTCTGGAGACCCTGCTTTGAGAACCTTTGCTCTTGAGGATTCTAGTTTCTCTTCCAGATAATAAGGGCTCTCCTGCTCAGGTGGGTCTCTCCTGTCGCAGCCCTGTGGCCCCCTCTAAGAAAGAGCTTTATAGTGAGTCCAGCAGGGGAAGGGGCTGGGGCACTGGCAGTTGGCAGGGTGAGTGGGAGGTGGGGGTTTGGGTCCCGGCATCAGGCCAGTGGCACCAGGTATTTCCCTCCCGTCTCTGATCTCTGTGCCGTGTGTGCAGCGGAGCCCTGCGTGGGGGACGGGTCCATCTTCTGCCAGATGGAGGTGCTGGATCACTACTGCTCCATCCCTGGCTACCACCAGCTGTGCTGTGAGTCCTGTACCAAGAAGGACCCCAGCCTGGCGTCACCACCACCCTTCTCTACCCCTGGGAGCCCTGTCTCAAGACCGAAGACCTCTCCAGATGCTGTGGAGCCTACTAGGGGGCCACCAGGGCCAGATGGTCATCAGCCTGGTCTAACCACATGGCTTCCAGAACTTCTGGACACCAGCTCACCCGTGACCCAGCGCCACCTTGTCCCCCAGAAACTAAGCACTAGAGCATCCTGGGGCACCTCCCCTACCACCCAGCAGGGAAGGCCTTGGGTCTGGACCGCGGCACCGAAGCCAGCCTCTGAGGAGAAAGGACAGCCCACGGAAGACCTGAAGCATCCAGGCACCAGCCACCCCACCACCTCCCCAGTGACATGAGCCACCTGTCCCATCCCGCCAGTCAAGTTTACAGGCCGTGTGCTGCCCCAGGTACCCCAGCTCAGAGCACACACAGCAGACGGGCCAGCACAGGCTTCCTCTTAAATTATTTGCCTTCTTCTAGTTCTTGTTTGGGGCTGTGATACTCTTCACCCCCAGAAGGGGTGGGGGGAAGGAAAAGATCAGGGAAGGCCCTAACCTGAGATACCTCAGCGAGCAGTCCCCGGTGACAGAATTGAGCCTCTCAGGGTCAGCTCACGTCCCCTCCTCACAGTGGCCAGGGCTGCCTATCTGCACCATAACTTGTGGGGACCCTGTGGAGGCCCTATCTCTCTGGCCCCTCTGCCCAGAAAAGCAACATGGGGCCAGAGAACGTGGGGGGAGGGGCCTCACAGGGCAGCCTGAGATGAAATGGGGGCTGGGGTGAATGTGGACATGAGGGCCCTTTCCCCAACAGCAGGGTTGGTAGGCACAAGAAGGCAGGTTCATCTCAGGCCCAGCTCTGCCAGCCAAGGCCAGGGAGCAGGGTCCAGCTTGTCTTGGCCGGCTAGAGGGCAGTTCTGAGCAAGCCAAGTCAGGGGCCCCACCACACCCACTTCACCTC